CCAGCTCAGATGTTCAGATGGGAATCATTTCTTGAGTGATTTAGCTACATCTGCGATTTGCAAAACGAATAAAATGTCAGTTCGTCTGCATGCGTCGGGGTAATTCTTTCTATTCTTTCTCCGTCAAAATAAACGGCCAATTACGGGAACTGGCCGGTCAACACAAGCCCTGCTTTTAACTATTCTGTTTTCTTGTGAAAATTGTTACACATTTAACTTGATTAACACCAGAGCCAGGCGCACTGCGCCGTTGTCTCCGTCACTGTAAATGAGGGAAAAACAAAATGATCAGATCCTTTTCTGACCTTCCCCACCTACAAAGTTTAATTACAACAATCAAACGTGACAGAGTCTGGATTTGTATTCTGAACAGTCTAAACATATTTTTAAAAGAAACGTATGACAAAAGTGGCACCTGCTCAGTAAAACCACCAACAGGGTGAAAAATATCAAAATATTGTAGGCAGAGACGGGCTACAACTTCTGGATCCACTTTATATAAATCGTTTTATTGATTATCTTCTTATGAAAGATAACTTTGACGTACACGAGCGACCGGTACCGGCTGCTGTCACCAGTTGTGAGCAGCGCTCTGCTGTCTGAGGGTAGGCCCCGCCCACAACGCTGCGGCTGCTGCGGTGTTTTCTTTACAGGGGGAAACGGGTAATAATGGCTCTTTGATGGGAACAGGTTGCCGACACCTGGTTTAGCGTGACGTCTGATATATATATATATATATATATATATATATATATATATATATATATATATAGCCATGCCCTGATGTGGGGCTGGGGGGTGCGTCAACATGGTCGGGACATAGAAGGGGGTGCGCGGCTAAATAAGTTTGGGAATCACTGTTCTAAGGTGTCCTGTTCTGTCCTTGTGTCTTGTCCTTGTACCATGTTAATGTCACCAATTTCTTGTTGACTTGTCTGTTGAACAGTCTTTGACTGCATGTGTTTCCGAGAAATATGACTAGAGAGTGATGTTCGAACACTGAAATATTTAGAGCAACCTCTAAATGGGCATAATACTTTTTTCTATCTTTAATATGGATCCTCAGATGGACACAAAGAGTTTTAATATTTTGTCCAACATACCCACATCCAGGAACTTGACAGCTAAGATTTCCAGTGAACTTCCAGATCTCCTCCTCTGTTCTCCCCTCGTCTATGATTTCTGTGCATATGGGAACGAAAGTTAGTGAATGTTTTAAAAGTGGCTTTAGAATTCTCGATTCCACAAGAAAACATATAGTTTGCATTGTGTTTATGGCTTCTAACATGTGAACTGAACAATATAAATTTGTGTGCATGGAATCCACAATATTTACAGAGAAACATTTTAAGTACCCTATATCTTCAATAGTTTCTTTTCCAGGGATATTTTAAGGAATACAACAAAAATGCATAGAAAACTAAACAGTACCTTAACAGTAGGCTAAATAGTCATAAAAGGCTCAAATATGCCTAAAATGTAACATCCCCTCAAAAAAAGGAAAGTAGTATAGCTTTCACATTGGCCACAAAAAGGAAAATTATTTGACCTCAATATCAGAGTTAAACCTCTCCAACTTAATCTGTATATCACAGCATGCACTGCCAGCAGCCAGCAGCCTGCACCTGCAAACACTTACTGTCAAATTAGCCTTTGTTTTTTTTTTGCTCCTAACTTTATTGAAAACAAATGTCATACACAAGAGAAGTCAAGGAAACAAACTGACTTTGATAGCAGTCTCCATTACAGAAAATGTGAAGCAAATCCTTTTACCTTTGAAAAGAAAAAAAAAAGAAAAAGAAAAAATGATCAAGAGCAAAACAATAAGTAGCAGAAACATTTTGGCACAAGCAGTTTTCTTATTCATATCTGAGATGTGCTTGAGTGAAAAAAATATAAGGAAAAGTTATTCAAGAAAATGATGAACAGAGAACTGTTTTTCCATTTACATGAATAAATAAATTATTTACATAGAATATTTACAAAAAGAAAACATCAGATATTTTAGAATCTGGATTGTCCATGAGGTAAAGAACATCATTAAATGTCGTATGTTTTAAGTAAAATCTAGCTTTGGCTATCAGTCCAAAATACAATCACATGCTGACAATTGAAAAATAGATTATGCAGTGTTTGTAGATCTTAACAAATTTGGTTTTAAGCATCACATTACTTTGCATGGGTAACAGCTGAAAATTAATCACCTTGTTTGTCAGTTTTTAAAACATCCGGGTAACTTCAATGAGGTGTTTACACATTTATGGACAGGGACCATTTTGCAGAATTTGCATGAAGATCACAGCTATAGCTAGTTTAAAAGCCAAAACATGCAGTAAAATACTTACCAGACAGACCAACTCCCCTGTAATGGGTCACATTCGGGATACACATTTGGAAAATGTTTTTATTTCTTCTTTTCCTAAAAGTGCAAGACAACGATCATATATTGTCTTTCCAATGTTGTTGTTTTGAAAGCAAATATCCAGGTTGTATCAGGTGAAAGTGATGAATTCTTATCTAATTCTGGGAAACCCAACAACATAAAACATACCTAGGGGTGGAAAATACCTTTGATGAGTTCTTCCTTGGCCCATTTCCTCAAGATTCCATCTATAATTGTCTGAATTTTTTGTTACATCTATAGTGAACACAATGGATAGACAACAGCATAATTTTGGTGGCTGTAATTATCCTATAATGTTGCTATGTTTGCACAAAAAAAACAACTGATGGAATTTTGAAATGATCAATATTTTATGGAATATTTTACATAAAATTTCTTACAATTATAAAGTTGTAAACTGGTATCATGCCAGGTTTTTGATAAAATTCTGTAAACATTTATCAGTTTAAATCGCCCACCAGGCAGATGTCAATTACGGTCATTTAGGCAGTAGGACTAATAGATTAGCTTAAACATGATTTTATTAATCTGAGATGATTTTTTATTTACAATGTAGGCTTGGTTAAAGCATCCAATCTTTTTTTTATGGGATTTTAATTAAAATATTTTTAAACAGATTTTAGTGAGTGTTTACATACTGTATGCTTTTATAATAGCTCAATTAAAACATTTATTCTTGGAGCATTTTCTCTTTACTATGGGGCATAGTGTTTTTTCATTGGTGATCTCACAAAGAATTGTTTTGGTAATGCACTCTGAATGAAGATTTGAGCAAGGTATTTTAAAATGTCCACTGAAAAACCACAGACAGAAAAATGTCAGAGGTATACCAAATTTTTATATTTGCTGTACTTTACCTGTTTCCTTTAAACAGTGACATGAAAAATATGTGATGTTGTTGAATTTACTCACCATTACATGCCAAATACAGTACTACACTGCTAAGATTTTAGCTGTATTTTACTGTTGATTTTACAGTAATATACTATAGGAATGACAGCACAGTCTAACAGTGCATGGAAATTACAGTACTACACTGCAAACACTTTTAGAGGTATTTTACTGTTGATTTTACAGTAATATACTAGCAAATGCCAGCAAAGTCCAACAGTGTATGAAGTTCAAAAGGAAAACTTGCATTTCACTCAGGAAAATAAAGGCAAGATTATGTCAGGAACACAAACAAAGGCAATGCACAACTATAACATGAATACGTTTTTGTGCCAGAAAGTAAAAAAAAAAAAATGATAATAACACATAAATAACTAGTTTAAGGGGTCATATTATTGCAGTAGATCTTAAGATTTTTTTTAAAGTTAAACAGTATAAAACATGCTGTAAATCTCAGTTATTTTTATGTAATGTTTTTGGAAAGAGCATTTTTCTTTTATTCCTTTCTGAGGTAATGCATTGAGCATAATGAAGTCCAGATTCACATCAAATACTTACTTTAAAATTGTTTTTGATGTGTATTTAAGTTTTTTATCATGTTCAATTTTTAGATTTGTATTTTCACCTTTTAGTGATTCTTCTTGAGAGGGAAAACCTCCATCCAAAAGGATATTTCAGAGCATTTGTTTAATGCACATGTTACTATGTCATGTTAATGTTCCTCCACATTCCTTTACTGTTACATTTGAGAGGAAACAATAGTTTGTTTTATTTTTGAAAATGCATTTTTCACAGAGATTGTTCAAATAAAACTCAAGTGTTTACCAAAGGAGTGACACTTTATTTTTCAGCTCATTTTACCATTCCCAAATCATATTCATCACAGTTTATAACTCTGATTTCAGTGTTCAGTTACAGAGAACAGGAAAGTCTTGCTTTTATAAATAATGAAAATTATATTTAGAATATATACCGAGCAGTGAGTAAAGCTAGGATTGTATTTTGTTAATTCTCCATTTATGTCCCGACATATTTTTGCTGTCTTACGCAACAAGAATTCTCCTACATCAAGCTGAGCAGCAAAATTCTTACATCACGATGAAATCAGTAGGTGCATGTGAGGGTCTAATTTAAAGCAATATACATATAAGTTGATGAAAAGCAGGAAACATTTTATTTTATTTTCCACCAATTTTCTTGACTGCTTATCCTTTACAGTTTGTGGAGAGGTGTCTATCACCAACTGTCTGCAGGCAAGGGGTGGAGCCACCATTGGCACATGACCAGTCCTTTGCAGGGCAAAATTTCTTTTTTAAAGAAAAAAAAAGCTAATAAGCTTCATAAGTTTGTACGTATGCAAGCTCTTAAAAATAAGTACAATTCAACTGCTTCATCAGGTGTGGAGGGTGCATGTAAAGTTTTCTGCCATCAGAATGCAGGATAGTTCAAACACTCTCATCACATGGGTATGGTCCTCTCTGAAGACTTTGTACTTTACAAGTTTCCACTGCTTGATCAGAAACCTTCCTAAGATAATTTTGTCCACCAAAAATCTGTGGATTAACTGCTACTGAAATAGCCATCTTCTCGTGGATTTCTTTACAATGATCAAAAGCTATTTGACTTAACCCACTTCTCAGGATGGGATCCTTCCTTCACTGGTGTGGGGAAATGCTTCCTCACTCCTGCCTTCATCTGGAACATTGACCAGTCTTCCTTCAAGAGTCCATCGTGTCGCTGATTGCACAATGTCAAGTGGTTTCCTTCTGCCACTGTGATATAAATCACGTTTTAACGAGGAAGTTTTCTAATTTTAACAAGAAAGTATCTCGTAATAACGAGAAACTTTGTCGTTAAAACGATGTTTATATCACGTTTTAATGAGAACATTTCTCGTGGTTACGAGTTACTGGTCCTGAGTTTTTTTCGCCGCACTCACGGTAATTCGCTTCCGTACGATCACATTGAACGCAGCACACTCTTTCGGAATCGGCGCTCGAGATCTGAGCAGCTGGCAGCCGCGGGAAGCGAGAGGAGAGGAGACGCGGTCCGATGCAGACGAGAAGGCAACCGAAGAGGTAAGACCTAAATAAAAACGTTATTTGACTTGGTGATAAAAGCTGCTGTTGATTTAAAGACGACAAAACGCCAAAGAGCATTGCGTGTAGGTTGTAGTGAGGATGGGCGTACACTGTGCAACTTTTTTGCTTGTGTTTCGAGCAGGTTTCGAGTCGATTTACCTCCTGAGAATACTTGAGGTCGGCGTGAGTTAGCGTCTCCTACAGGGTTTAACAAAAAGCATTAACTCATGACCAGCAATCGAGCAGTCGCACGAATGTCAAACGTGTTTTCTATTTTGCTCATCAGCGCTGCGAACCAACAGTACCTGAACCGCACACACAGCGCATCCGTCAACATGGCTTGCCAGTTATTTTCGTATGAAAGCACGTTGTTTCTTTTCGTTTTTACACTTTTCTTCGCACACATTAACAATGATTGTCAAGAAAGTGTGTCTGCCGTGTTTGTCTAATAAAACGGATTCCTTAAACAGTTATTTTGTCTTCCTTTTCCAATCCCCATGCAGAAACCCCTGGATATAGTTAAAATATAAATATAATAAAACAAATAAAACATTTTAAATATAAAATCCAATATAGGCTAGAATATTCAATAGTAATCACACATGATCTGTTTTCAATAGTATGCCAGTTGTTGCAACTGCAGGCTGCACAAAGAACAAGCATAGTTGCCCATTCAGGTGTCGGTACAAGATCTGCTCGGGTGCAAGATCGGCTCGGGGTCCTTCGACTGCCGATGACGTCAAAGTACGGCAAACCGACTCGGACAAAATACACTACACATCTATACTGTTGGAAAGAATTTAGCAGTTTCGTTATTAAAATAATGTTTCTTAAGACGTAAGTTTGTGTTTATAATGGTATTTGTAAAATAAAACACTATTTTATTCATAATGTTGAACTCCTCTTTGAGCACATCCCTTGAAGGATCATAGGTATTAGCAACACCTGTGAAATTGTATTTGCAGGAAAGAAGTGTGTCCCGTTTATTTAAGTATTTTGTGTTTAGAGTTTTTGACGTCTTGTCCATGAGTTGTTCAGTTACGCTCATAGCTGCTAGCCAAAACTGTGGAGTTAAAAGTTTTCTGGCTTTACTAAAATACCTGTCTGTACTTATTTGATTGATGGTATTTTTACTTTCTATTAGACTCCAAATGTAATCATTTGGCACGTTTCTAATTCATAATTTGCAATAATGTAATCGGCGATATTAGCATTAGCATTCCTATGGGTTTTTCCATGTATATTAGCATTGCGCTAACCACTCGCTGCCAAATTGCAGCCTTTGAGATTAGAAAATCTCCTTTTGTCACATCGCAATTTAATTGCACATGCAGTTAATCGTTCAGCCCTAATATACATGCAGCTCTATGCTAAAAGTGTATTTTCAAAGAGGTAATGATGGATTTCTTTGTAAAAGTTGTCCATCTTTCCAAAAGAAAGATTTGCCTGGACCAACGTAACGTGATAACAACGTAACGTGATTACGTAATTCCGTGAGGTTCATGTTCAGCCAATCAACTACTTAGACGTCATCGGCAGTCGACGGACCCCGAGCCGATCTTGCACCCCAGCAGATCCTGTACCGACACAGGAGACCGATTAACCCATCCAATATGGTGGAGACGCTGTTGCACCCTCCAGCACCCAATGGAGTGTTTACTCAGTGGCGGTTCTACATGGAATTACTCCCCGGGCGAGGAACCCTTTGAGCGCCCCCACCCACCACCACCACCACCACACCTGCACGAACACACGCATGTTTTCTACAAACAGGCATGTTTTATTAGAACAACTATTGAACATTCATTTTTCTAAGTTGCACATATGTACATAAATTACTATGAAGTTGTCAGAATGTAAAGCAATATACATTATATACTGTATCAAAATATATAGAATCAAATATACAAAAACAAACAATAACTAAATATTAAGAATATATGAACATAATATATAATAAATATTCTAAATGGCAAAAATATTTCACACATAACAAACTAAAGATAATCACTACAGCATTGCGCTTAGAACAGAAAACAAACTAAAATTAAAACCTAACCTTGATGCAAAGTCATCAATAATGTCATCATATGAAATCTGCTCCCCTACTGAGTGATCGATACTAATCAGAGCCAGGTTAGTGAGCCGCCCCTGAAACATAGGTGACCTCAGGTATGACCTGATCAAGTTTTGAAAAGCTCCTCTCGGCTTGAGCCACAGTGACTGGCAGAGCAGTCCAAAAGTTGGGGTAGATCTCCAATAGATCTTTATCATGATCCATAATATTTTAGAATTGCCCCTGAAATTGTAATTTAAACTGACATAAAAATAACTGTAGACTACCAAAAATGCCAACTTTTACAGAACAAATCATGTAAAAAATAATCAGTGCAGCCATCTGCAATAAATAAACAGGATAGTTAGTGGTGACTGGGGAGTTTTCTTCTGCTTGTAGAGTTGTTTTATTTATTATTATGTGAACATGATCAACATGTGTTTGTTGTTGTTCAGGCAGGCCACAGGCTGCAGCGAGCATTTAACAAATCCTAGTTTGAATCAGTAAAAAACGATTCAATGAATTTTTTCGAACCATTTGAATATTCGTTTCAATATTTCAGCCCTGTTAGCTCTGTTAACAATTAGTTAACCGAATGTAACCGTTAAAATCCCAGTTAACTGGTTCAAAAAATTGAAAACATGCATCATGAGAGCGTACATACCTTTATCTTTCTCCTCTTTTCTTCCTGGATCAGGCACCTGTTGGTTTTAGCCTTTTTATGTTCATCTCTTCTGTTTGGCTCTTGACTCAATAAGTTTCCTTTAGTCAGGACTAAACAATTTGACCTTGATGGGTGGGTGACCACAAAATCGTTTTGTTTTTCTTTTTTTTATTCAGCCATTTCACACAATTCAGGAAAAACCTGAAAGAATGATAGGCCTGTGTTTATGTTATTATGAATGAAATGTGCGTTAAATGGAAGAACATCAAGATGTGATTGACTTTAGCCATGTTAATACAGTTGATTCAGCCCCAACCCGCTCATTTCATTTGGGAAGACCCAGAGGTGAATTCCCCCGCCGCACGCCTCCCCTGCCTCTTCTACATACACACACGGTGCACGTGAACGTTCTCAGTCAGCAGGAGCGCCTGCAGCTGCAGGGGGCGCCAACTCGCTGTTTCCAATCCAGACACTGTGATATCACCGATAATAGAAAACCTCGGTGCGTCGCAGATTTCTTTTTTATTTTTTACTCAGCGCTTGTGCGCCCCTTTTGTGTCATGAAAAAATGCCGCCCCGGGCAACTGCCCTGTCTGCCCGTGCCTAAAACCGCTACTGTGTTTACTCATTCATATCTATGCGTGTTGCTACCACACATACAGTATGAGCAGTCAGGTCATATCCGAGAACTGTGTGGAACAGTGTGAGAACTAGGGCCCGACCGATATGCTTTTTTGGGGGCCGATACCGATATAAAACTTTTAACAAAGGCCGATAGCCGATATAATGGCCGATAAATCTCCCTCACAAAAAAATAAATACAAATGTTCTTAAGATTAAATCCTTCATTCTCTGCCTTTTTGATGCTAACTTATTTCTCTATTACACACCAAAGAACTGTCTCAATAACTCACTAGGGTCTCCAAGTAATGCAAATAAGATTTATTTTGCAATCTCAAAAACAACAGAACACACAAACTACTACTGAAGATGAGCAGATGCTGCAGATGACATCACCGGATGGATCTTTAGTGAAGTAGGCCCACACCTTACTACGATCCTCTTTTTCCATCTGTAATAAAATAATCAGCATAAAAGTACAGTTATATATCTGTTGATACTAAGACAAAGTAAAATACATTAAATGTGGCATTTTTATACTTAAAAGTTTAAAAATTATCATGTAAATAAATGATATCAGACATTGTGGCTCAAAACCAATGGCTCTGTTTTTGTTTGGTTCCCCAGCTGTTAAGGTTTTCTCATTTAGTATTCGTCTTCCGTTTGTTGTCAGGTTTTTTTTTCTAGTTATTCTTCTTTCCCTTTTAGGATTCTTTCTTCTTTAAAATTATTTTCATTTATAGTTCCTCCTATGTTCCCCTGCTGTCCTCTGTTCCCACTCATAGCTCCTCCTCATAACTAGTCCTCTGTCATCTCTCACTCAGTGCATACGGTTCAGTTTTGGTCATACTCTGCTGGTTTCAGCGTCCTAGCTACCTGATTTTTGGCATTAAAATACTTTTTGAGTTTTACACTTTTGTGTTTTGATCCTTTCCAAAGCCGACAGTATTAGGAAAATAAAAATAAGATACGTTAAATGACTAGTATGTGGCAATGTATAAGCCTTATGTAAAATATAAGGCTGAAAAATACAATAGATTTATTCTATTGCAGAGAGGGATGTTTATTTTCTCGTATTACCGCCCCCCCTCCTCTCCCAGCTAGGGAGAGGAGGGGGGGGGACTCCCTGGCTGCACAGCGTTTCATTGCTTTGTTGCCAACCCCCCCTCGCCCGTCCTCAGCTGCGACAATGGTCGTGTGCCGCCGAAGCGCCGCGAAACGGGGACTCCTTCATTCGTCGCCCTTGTTATCCTATTCTACAGGCCACATGGACCGCCGAAGCGCTGCACGCTCCGCCCGCACCGTGCAGCGATAGTTTCGGCGTCTGCACTATTTTTTTCGCAAGCCGCGGGTGAGCCGTGTGAATTTGAAAAGACTGCTGAAGAAGAGCGGAGGAAATTGCCTTGAGAATATTCTAGAATGTCTACCAGAAAAAGGCCAATGTTACTTACTTACTGCCCTGCATGACTAAAGGGGAAGCAGCGTGAGCTCTGCATAGAGCTTAATGCTGCGGCAGTATTTATTTTATTTTTTCAGGTTAACTTTTCAATACGAGGCCACGAGGCACACAATAAACTTAGGAAGCATGTTGAGGGGAAACATACTTTTGTCATTGCTTATTTTACCGTTCAACTTACCACTGACACAAAAAATATG